GCTCCTGCTTACAGCCACTCACCAAATGGAAAACTGGCTCTCGACAACCGTAAATTTATTCAGAGAGCCAGAGCCCCTCACTTTAGCCAATAACCCTCGTGCTGCAATCTGCCCGGCTGCCGGGGGCGCGGAGCCCATCACACTAGTCAGCAGCCCCGGGAGAAGAGCAAGTCAAAAAATTCACCTTTGAGACCACTTCTGCTTCTACTATTTTCTTTAAGTTCTCACTGGGTCTGATTTTATTTATTTTTTTTTAACATCTTCCACCCCCCACTGGATGTTCAGCTGGCCATCTGCATTCCATTATTTTATCTTTCTCCTGGAGAGCACATACTGCTTACGCTCTCGGACTCAAAATCCAAAAAGCTCCCGTCACATTCTCATGTTCTTTATGGTCTGTGCAGACCAAGCGACGCAGTTTTGCTGAGGATAAATTCTCCAGCTTCATATATCTTCAGTTCCCAAAGGCACGCAAGCAGATTTGAGACCTGCCTAGAGGCACGCCAGCTTTAGGAAGCAAGGTCCTCGATACTGTTGAATATTTCAAAAATCTAAGTGTATACATATTTCAATTAATCACTCTGGTACTTTTAGAAAGTAATACATTCTGCTGAAAATGCTTGAGCATTCTCCCGTGATGAGAAAGCAAAGACGATCATCTCCCAGATCTTTAATTACAAACAGAGCCTTGCAAAAAAAACAGAGCCTTGCAAAAAAAGTGAAGTTACCGACTGCTCTGTCTCTAAAGAACTCCAGCTTTAATTCTTCCATGGCAGCACAACTTGATTCTGTACTTCAAGAAAGCTTTCGCTTTGGGGAAACAACTTGAGTATTATCTGAAAATCAGTCTTACTGGAAAAAGAGAGGAAGAAAGTTGTGGCTGCGAGCAAACGCCACTCTCCTGGCAAGACCGCTTGTCCATTTTGTGAGGACGATTCTCTGCTCCCACTTCATGCCAGCCATCCGATTTTTCTGAGTCAGCTAGATTTTTCATCTCATTTATATTATATACACCCAGGCAAGCATCCAAATTAAACACTCAGCGGGAAACTTGTGTTTGGAAAAGGAACCTGCTTAACTTTCACCGAGATTGAGAGCGCCTCGACTTCCACGCTCAGGTCACAGCCACCAAGACAAACCTGTCGCAGACCCCTCAGCTGCTGCACATGGCCCAGGAGCACAATAAATCCAATTTCCATCTTCCCTTCCCAGAGATGCAACCCTCTAAGACACATCAGTGGTCTTGCAAAAAAAAATAATAAAAATAACCAAATCAAAAAACAAACCCCAGACAGATTTTGGAGGCTGTGATGTCAGCTCTCGCTCACATCTCCTGCCACGGTGTCCCAGAAAAGATCCTCCACAGCAGCACGACCTGAAAGCTGAAGCCTTCCTTGGGGTTTCTCTTGGAAAGACCAGAGCTAAAAGAAGCTGGGGACTGACTGAATGTACAATCTGTCTTAAGAGAAAGGAAGCAGGAAGACCATTTTCTCCGACTGTTCTGATCTTTCAGACCTTAGCCACACGGAAGTGAGCTCTACCGGCTTCCTGACTTCGGGCCACTCGGTGGGATTTCCATCAGCCAGACCCAGATCTCACTCTTAATTGACACCAAGCAACACCTCCATCCAGAAAATATCCTTCATATTCTCCTTCCAGCACATGATGAGGACAGAAGCGATTCACAACCAACTATGAGAAGCAACAGCAGCAACTTCTGGGCAACATGAGGCAGTAAGGAGGCACGACAGCATTTACACTACGCAGTGAAGATCTGTGTGAATGTTGCAAGTGCTATCGCCTGGGGTTTCCTCCCAACAATCCATTTAAGAGCAGCGCCATCGCTTTTAACACTCCTCTTAGGGGAAGTGCTGTCCAGTTTGGCCTTGGCTGACAGCTGGATGCTCCAAGGCTTCAGCCACCCTCGTCTGCAGAGGAGCTATATGGAAAATTACTCTATTTAAATTAGCCCTCCTTAAAAAGATACGTGCCTCTGCTCAACTTTTTGTAAGAGATTTAGAAGACTTCTTGCGCGTTTCGACAGCCTCCGAGTAGCCTATTTACAAATAACGGCAAATTGAACTCCAACCAGAGCCGAGGCACGTTACCAGCACCACGCAGCGCTGCTTTCAGGCAGGACTCGTGGAGTTCTGTGATTGACAAGGTCTCTAATGAACTCTAATTGAAGACTCGGCAGTCTGAAAAACCCAACAACAGACGTGGTAAAAGGGCAAACCACAAACTCCTTTGCTAATGAATGAGAAGTGTCTGGCCTGATGAGGGTCAGTGACCCAAAAATTCTCTCCTTCCACCCACTCTTGTACTTCACGTTCAAGTTTGGACCCTTTCCCTTGTCAGCCCAACACTTGGGGGCAGTAACGGACAAACATCCCCCACAGAGTCCTGGGACACCAAGATGTTCTTTTACTCCCCAGCAGCCCCAGAGCGTGGCTGTGGCCGAGCGAGAGGGACCTCAGGGAGGAATTTGGTGCAGTTATCCCTCCCGGCAGGAACACAAGCCTAGGCAGCAGATGTCACCTTCTCGCTAGAGCGGTTTTGGAAAACCTTTTACGTACAAAGATGTCTCTTCACCCCTTTCAGTGGATCTTAAGGAAGCATCACAACAGAAGCAACACTCGTCAGCCTAGAGATCAATCCCTGTTAAAAGACGACAGCAAGCTGAGCTGCCAGCAGACTTCAGAATAATAACCTACGCCTCACACACACAAAAATAAAATGACACAGGGCTCTGCTTCACGTCTACTCCAGCCTGGGAGTATAATGAAGCGAGGAAGCCAAGCCCAAAGGAGGCAGAAGTCAGGGTGCCATCTTTATGATTCTATCACAAATTTAATGAACCTGCTTGAGCTCGTCAGGCATTTGGAGTCTGACCTTCTACTTCAAGGAGGTTATTGTCTGGTAACGGTACAGGAAACAGAATGAAAACGTCAGCTGTAAAGGTTTGGATGAAATTTGCCAAAAAAAGGTCAAACAACTATTTGCTTGAGTCTGGCTTGTGATGGTTTTGGAACGCTTACAGGTGGCAGCGCATACACTGCTCTCGTCTCACCAGAGTGCAGGCTTCAGCCTTGTGGACGTCAGGCTGCGAGCGGCTGCAGAAGAGGGCTACAGATGTCTCGACAACAAAGAAATCATACTGGGGTTAACCAATTATTTCATCTTTACCCCCAAGAAGGGACTGCAACAACTCGTGCGCGAATCACACAGACCCTCCTTGTAAGCAGTGTCATTCCAACTGCTCTGTTTCACGTTACTCTTATAATATGAAAAGAAGCCCAGCGAGCGTGTTGCTGATGAAAAGCATGTAGAGCCCTAATGAGCACCATCCAAAAGTAATTCCAGCGTTTAGAGGGAACCAGTAATTTTCCAAGTCATTAAAAACACCCCTCGTACCAATTATACAGCCAAGCCTACCATAGCTCCCCAAACAACTCGGTGTTTCGAAAGGTCCTCGGAGCTGCTCAGACCCTGATATCCGTACAGTCCTCCAGATTTCATCCGAAAACCAGACCACACCACTGACTGAGTTTTCTGTGTCCTACCTCGAGCAACAGCCGCAAGCAACGCTTTAGGTTGCCAAGAGTTCTGGTGGCACAGATGTAGCCAATTACTAAACGGTTTCAAGAAGAGAAATAATCCCTTCCCACAGGGAATAATTTCTTTACTGACTCACGAGCTTTCGTACCTGCACCTTGGCTTAGGTAACAGAGGGCAGTATTTAAACAGAGTTTGATAAATTTAAGTCAGTCACAGCTTTTTTGACCATAGGACTCCTCCAAGTTTGCCAACAGCAGCTTCAAAACCACTTGGGAACAGATCTCAATTCGGCTTTTACTTGCTCAGCAAGTGGTCTCCTGCACACAGAGATGGCAAAGTGCTCGGGCACAAGCCAAGCAGTTTAATTAAGAGGCACGAGCTCACAGAGCTGCTGTGTGCAGAACCATCAGATTTTTAGGGTCTCTTGGACAAGGTTTATCCACATTGTGCACAAAGTTCACACCTGCCACAGAGAAGGGATGTAGCTCTCACTACAGATATGAGGAAAAGCCTGATGCAAAGGTCTAATAGCTCCATCCAAGGGCCAGTGTCCTCTGTCTGCAAAAATCTAGCAGCTTAGGTCACAAATAAGTCATACATTTAGACTGGACAACAGAAGCAAGTTTTCCCAGCTTCCCACATATAGTAGATTCTGTATAGATTAAATCCATATTTACGAACTAAATCCATCTAAGTTGCTCCACAGGAGCACTGTTTTTTAAGGGGAAGCTGCCACTAACTAGCCTGTGCATCTCAGGACACGCAGCTAAATCCTGTGCAGACAGAGATGAGCACACGTACCCCTCGTAAGGTGATTTTCCTCACTCGCAGTTTATAGAAGGAAAACAAGTGTTTGGATGGCAAGCAGAAGGCGGTATGGGGCACGACGGTTGGCCAGGATTTTTGGATACTCACTGGACCGCAGAATATCTGACAGAGCATAATTTACAAACAGATTTGGGTGTTCTCCAGCCCCCCGGTGTTCTGACATATTTTGTCTCAGCAAGGTCTTTGAAGCACGTGCCACGGCAGAGCCACGGCACCGACCCCACACGGCCGGTGGCAAACTCCAAACAGGCAGGTGGTTCATCTGGAGACAACACACACGCACGCGGGCATGAATCAACCCTGTATAAACTGTTCCAAATTCCTCTGAGCTGGTGATGACTTCATGAAGAAAGCTGCTAACGATCCTTCATGCCAAAGCACGCCCGGGGTACAGGGTAACACCTGCTGGCTTGCCCCAAACAAACCCACAGATTCCTGACATCGTTGGGGCAATTGCTGTATTATTTCAACCTTGCCAAAAGGAGGGAAACAAATCACCACACCTCCGAGATGCTTCAGGAAATGTTCTTACATACCAGACCTTCATTACCCCCAGGACTCGGCCATTTCTCGGCCAATACTCACCACTAGTCCCTATTCCAGCCAATACTCACCAAGTCAATGAGGTCGCTGAGGTTCTTCTCTATCTGCTGCGGAGGCAGACGCCTCATCAAATCCAAGGCACAATCCAGCTGCTGGTCACTCTGCGGAAACAAGAACATCCCTCCGTCATGATGCGTTCAGGTAGTACCTCACACGCACACACACGAGAACGGCAGCGCTCGCAGCGCTGAGCTAGAGAGATCCAGCCTCTAGTTCTAAGCAGCCGCACGTTTTCCATCAACACAACTCGATTTCAAGAAAATGCAGCACCATTTGATCTCGGATTATTGAGCTGGGCTCGCGGAACAGCTATGGATTTAAGAGCACAATTTTAACTGGAGCCATGCCGCCAACTTAACACCGCGCTGGTGAGGGAAAGGAGTCCAGTCCTTGCTTCACCAAAAACTGTTTCCAACTTTTTTGCGAACGTTTAACACGTTGTTTTTCCATGCTATCTCAATAATGCTCTGAGTTGAGGAACTGAAAGTTCCTTCTCTCAAAGCAGTTTTAACACTTCCTCATTTGTTCTGTGCCGTTCAGCTCGAGATAACTCGTATCCAAGACAAATTCTGTTCCAAACAGAGCTCGCTCTATCCCTCCTTCAGCTTTATCCCAAAAGCACAGAGCGAAACACGCACACAAAGTACAATCCATTATTTATTTCCTTCTTGCTACAATACACAGCGAAAGCTGCCTGTGTCTGAGCAATCAGGGATTTTGGTTACTTTGAGAAAACACAGCAATATACTCCAAAGGGCTCGCTGCAACCAGTCTCGTGTCCAATTCTGGCACCAAAAAAACCCACCTGAAACTTCACTTCAGAGTCAGAAAATGTGCAACAGCCATCACCACAGACACTTGAGGAGCTGACCCATGTTCTTGCCTGACCTTTAGCTCTCCTTCTCACCCACAGATAGAAACAACCACTCTCCTGCAAGCCCAACAGCACCCAAAATCTGCACAAGTTACTTTAATCAGCAGCCAACACGTGGCCAGTTTTCACCGCTTCTTCCCCTGCCATCCATATCCGAGGAGCTCAGCTTTAATTTCCTCCTTCCGGTCCTGCCAAGTTCCCAAAGTTTTCCTTAAGAAAGGCTTCAAACCCAAAGCAGTTACACTATTATACTATTTAAGTAGCAGCCCCCAGGTCGGGGAGGAATGGGAAGCAAAGCTTCCTGCAATTAAGCTGCGACCTGGTGATGACGAGAGGAGGGAGCTCTGTGTTTAGCAAACATCCCTTAGGAGAAAGGGTCTTAAAAGGTACTTACCCATTCGCTATCAAAAGACAAATATTTCACTGCCAGTGTCTGGGGAGATCATATATTTCTCTCTCATCCAGTTCAGGTTATAGGATATAATCTTTGCAGAATATTCCAGCTCTACAGACAAGCATCAACTCCCATATATCTGCAACAACGCCCTGAAGATCTGAGCCTTCAGCCTGCGGAGCAGGACGCGCCGACGCTGAGAGCAGAAGCTGGTGACAGTCACCTGCTGTCACGGAAGGAGGACGCATTCAAGTAATGGACACAAACCCCTCCACACTCTTTAAATACTTGGGTAACCTGACAAGCAAATCCTTGCCTGAAATGAGTCTGAAGTTATTTAACTCAAAAAGCTACCTTGAATTGAACTGTCGCCATGTTCACACACCAAAGTGACAGCCAGGATTGCTCAAAGCTTTTCTCTCCATGAGATGTCCAGGGGAAGAGAAAAGGACTCTCTTTTTGCTTCTAACCTTCAGTTCCCGGAGAAAGGCGCTATTTAGATGGCCTGCGCCCGCAGGGCCCCAGCAGCCAAGCTCAGCGCAAGTGTTGCCTTTACCTCCCGCTATCTCTTATGTCCAGGAAGGGAAGCTGGCACATGGTCACGGGGTCACGCTCCTAACTTGGGGATCGTGGGAACGCTCGCGGAAGTGCTCCGTCCTCCTCTGCCAGCTGGAATTGTTTAACAGACAAAAAAGCCTAGGGACAGACCATGTGAAAAACCACCGCTCCGGCTGCAAGCCCAAAGGACGCAGTTCGCAGCACAACCATTTGGAAACCAACTGCACCGGGTGTAGGAGCATTCGCAGCGTTTTATGGATTAACCAAAAGAACCTGGACCAGCTTTTATAACAATATATTCAACAGCGGCTGCAAAGAGAAATTAAGGCAGAGGTTCTTAAAGGCGCAGAGCTCACATACAGAGCTGTGTGCAATGGCAAAACCAAGAATGCCCAAGTACACTCTTATGGCATCAAAGAGGTAAAAAGCAAGGCTGAGCCACTGGACTCTTCAGTTCTCTTGCATTAAAATAAATGACAGCTTGCCAGCAGATCCTTCAAGCACCGAAATAAAAGCAGATCCTGCTGCATTTCTGTCCCTAAATCGGTGATGATGCGGTCACCTTAATCTGGCATAAATCTGCGCAGGCGCTGTCAAAAAGGCAACACTGAGCGCACAGATGACGTCGTGCTACCAGATACATCTGTGATGTCCTATTTCAGAGCTCAACGGGTAATTCTACCAGTATCTTTTGCTTCCGGTTCTTTAACTGTAGGTGAAGTGAGGTTTTAAAAACCAGGTCTGTGGTCAAACACGTCCTTTGGTTCCAGACCTTGGCCCCAGCCCAAGTATACACGGAGTAGCTGGAGGGACTAATATACAGAGATAGGAACCACATCCAAGGTGCCAAAACCAACAGCCTGCAGTTCCCTGGTTTTATAGAAGAGCGAACACGCCGGCGGGGGCACAACTTTGAGAGCGGCATGTTATTAGCGGCACTTAAAAATCCCACAGAGTCTTCACACAACTTGTGTGAGAGAAGCGTTCCCGCTCAGGATACGTAGCACCAACCTCACCACAGCTCACCCAACCTACTGCTCAACTTCACCTGCTCTGGATTTCCACTTGCTTCATTCCCCGCAAACTCACGTACTGGAGACACGGTTTCTTAACAGACCTCCAGACAAAGCGTTTCGACAGAATTCTTCCCTTCAGACCTGGAGAGGCTTATAAACTCCTGCTCGCTGAGGTGATTAGACAGGCTGTCTCCCAGTCTGGGCCACACTCAGGCCAAGCTCTTTTGAGGCTCCAGGGCTTAATGAGCTCAGTGTTTACTTGATACGAGGCCGGTTTCCACCGTTCCTCTCTTTCATCCAGCACCGAGCTCCTGTGGAGGAGCAGGGAGTTCAGAGAGAAACTCTAAATGAAGTTTTATTACAGCTCAAGTCACTGAAGGATTTAGGGATCCTAGCAACCTCAGAGACAGAAAATATTAGCTGAGATAAAAGCTCCTTAATAAGTTTCCTCTAAAGACGTTTGGCTACCTAGAATCTCCACTTAAGCATCTGCCCTAGCGTTCCCAAGGCACTACCACAGGGAAAAATGTTTTGTCTGTAGGAGTAGTTATATTCAGTTTCCTTTGCCTACGTCAGCTCTTCTCTTCAGTCTCTCTGCTGCGCTTCACTTATTTCCCAAAGAGAAACCCTCTCAGAAAAGCCACAGGTCTCTGATCATCTGGGCACTTTGTGTTGAGGCTCGAATAAAAAGAAAGCACTGAAAAAAGTATCAGTTGTATAAGCGTGTGGTTGCACGGAGGCACAGCTGTGTACTTTAATTCTGTTAGTACTGGGAGCAATATTGTTTAAAGGTTGAGTACGGGCAGATGTCATTCAGTGCAGAAAACAATAAAACAAAACGAGGAAATTATTACAGATCTGCAAATTGCAGAAATTAAAACAGGCAGAACGCTGAACTCCCCTTTGACTCCTACTCATCACATCCCCTAAATCACACAGCTCCTTCGGATGAGGGGACCGGGAGCCAGAAGAGCTGCCTTCATGCCCGGTCCCCTGGCCAGGGCACCGTCACGCCGGTAACAGCAGCCACGGGACTGACCCAGGATTAAGCAGAGCTGCAAGCGGGTGAACTGCTCCTCACGCAGCTCTTCCAGCTCACGGCACCCAAACGTGCTCTGCCAAAGCGATGCAATAACCACGCTGCATTTGCATCGTGCTTTGCACAGAACTGTCACCCGACAAACGCGGTTACTACGAGCCAAGATACACACCTAAAGCCTTTCGGGCATCAGTCCCTGGCAGAACCAGTAACGCTTCACGGAAGCTACGCTTCGCTTTCTCTTCTCGAGAGCCACGACCAACCCGAGGAGCTGCCACCTACAACCACTTTGTGCTTTCCAAATGGTATCTTTACACGTCACTATATGCACTCACATAAATTCCCAGGCTTCAGCCCCAAGTTTTGACAACTCTCCATCGCTCCTGACCTGCGACTTGACCAATACTCCGGGTTTTAAGAGAGCTTACCCAAACCTGAAGCTCTACCCGTTTCAAAGGCTGAGCCATCCCACTAGAAAGGAGGTGGAAGATTTCCTTTAAAGGTCTCAGCCTTACAGTCACCAGGAAGTTGCTTTTATTTAACACAAAGACCTGCAGATTTAATTCCCTGGTCTCCACAGCTTTGCTCCGATGGCTCCAGCTCATTTGACTGTGTTATTGCTGAGCACAACACGAGTTAGGCAGTTTCTTCAAAAAGAAAACCAGGCTGGTTTCACTTCTGTGTTGTATTTCTGCACTAACGCTGCTCTGAGCTAACTCCTGAACCAAGAGAAAGCAGCTCCGTGCTCACTGCAGTGGTAGCTTCTCCCTATTTATGCTCTTTCTGGGAAATAAACCACTCGGGCCACCAAATCTTTCCCACCAGCAAACCAAATTTAACACTTCTCCTCAAGGCATGATTGCACTATCTACCCCTCCCTTTCCCATCTGTGACGCCAGCTGAGAAGGACTGGGTGACCTAAAAATTACTTCTGTCACTGGGATTAAAGCAAAAAAGCCACACACATGGAGTGAAAGCAGTTGTTATTTGGCTGCCCACGTTGGACCCTGAAATGCCGCGGTGGTCAGGACCCTGCAGCTGGGGCTATAAATGGATTAAACAAAGGTCTTCGAGCCGCTCTGCGCATAAGTTTGGTCAAAGAGCGGCAAAAACGTTATCCAGATTGGACGTACAAGCTGGTGTCTCAATTTTCACACAGAAACATAAGCAAAAAAACCTGAAGAGGCATCAAAAATAGAACATTGGTTCAACTTCACAAT